GAGACACACCAAAGTAGAAGAAGTATTTTATTGAATTGTTTGACTCTTAGTTCTTATGGTTTGTTTTGTCTTTCTATCAGAAAAGAATTTAAAAGGAATTGTTATTAGTCATCTAATATGAAGAGATACCTATATTTTCTGTTTAAATTTAATGAACTTGGATGCTAATTTACTTTAACTTTTTTACTTGTACAAAATAATACTTCAGATTCCTTGTTCTTGTCACTATTATACTACCACTTGTACAATTCCTTTCAGTTGAACATTCGTTTGAACCAGAATATATCTTGTTTCACTAAAAAATACTGTTCTTTTATTACAACATTATTGTTATTACTTGAGTACGAGAAAATGAATAAATCCTATTTAAATTCTTTTAAAGTAAATTCTAAAGAATTAAGGCACTAATCATTTCAAACTTTATTTTTACAACCAATTCTCTTTAAGGGTACATTTGTAATTAAAGAAATAATTCAAAAGAGTGATTTTACATAGTTTAAAGATAATTTAATCTCTTAGTCTCAATAACAATAGTGAAATAAATTGACAATATTATCTTCATCTAGTATCAAATCTTGTAAATATCATCTAATTATTCAATCAAAATATCATTATCAAAACCTCACTCTTCGATATGATGAAGCAAATAAAATATTAACTCAAGACCATTGTTCATTCATGGTGTAGCACCTAATCTACTAAAATAACCAAATGAAAAGTGATTATTACAATATCTATCAACTGATAAAACATTTTCACTAAAAACTATAAAAGAATAATCGTTTAATATACTGTTATTTCATCCTGTACAAACATAACACAAAATTAGAATTTTTTATAACATAGTATCTGTTTATGTTTGTGTTAACAAACATGTTAATGTAATCATATATTCTTTAAATTTAATTAGCAATAAATTCTAGCATTCTATATATTATAAAATTCAAATATATTATCAAAAAAATTCTTACTTGTAATGGAACTAAACTCTTAATATTTGATGTACTTTCCATCTCCTCTTATTTTTATCTTTATAAGCTATAAAAGAACTTCAGATAATATTCACCAACAAGAACCTATATCAACTTATTCAATACCTTAATTCAAAACTAAGAAAAACAAATGATTTATATACCAGAAGAAGGTTATGAAGAATAAAATAATGTTCACTTGTTTAATAATATACTGTTCGATAGTGATTAAACTTAAATCATAATGTTCAATATTCAACAATAATAGAATTTTCTTCTTTTAAGTATAGAATAAAGTATTATTTATTTGAATACAATTTGAATAAATGATGAATATCATTTTTATCTGAGACTAAAAAATGAATCAGAAATTGTTGAAATTTTAAAAGTTGATAAAATGCAATTCATTGTCCTTTTTTGATAAAACAAAATCATTTCTCTAATTATCAACTCTTCTGTTTCATCATTAAGACCACCAAAAACAGTTAATAAAAGAATTAACATATTTAAGTAATGACTTTTACAAAAAGGGGACATTTTTTCTGATAAAAAAAAAGATTATTGAATAACAACTTTTTTCAAACAGAAAGAAACAATCGTATTGTTACTTACTATTAACTGTAAATTGGTTAAATGGTTCAATTCATAACAAAACAATTTGGATGTACAACATCATTAATCTATAAATAAATTCAAAATTTCGGTGATAAATATAGAAATTGTTCTATAAATAAAGTAGAATGAAAAGAATGAAAAAGAAATGTAAATTAACTAGAGGAATTCTTATTAGAACCAGAAATTGAATTACTTTTAGAATAGATCTATGTAAAACAAAAATAAATAAATAAATATCAAGACAAATTGGTAGAAAAAGAGGAAAGTGGATTTAATGGATATATGGAATAAAGATAATTTCATTGTTTATAATAGAGTTCATTAATAGAAAATAAAGAAGAATCTATAAAAGAATATTTAAGTAGTTTGCACTAATCTAAAACTATAAAAGAATGTAATGGAACAATTTAAACTAGAAGATAAAAGAACTTATTTCACTTAAATAGAAAAATAATGAGTCGTGGATCTAATACTAAACTAACATTAACTGAAATCAAAAGACAATCAAAATCATTTGAAGCCCTTCAACAAGGTATGCTATTTGCACTTCTAAGTAATTATGGATATGGATTTCGATTAAAAAGACCAGAACGTATGGCTAAAAAGACACTCCAATATCTTACAATTAACGAAGTATATTATAATGGACTTCCTTTACGATTTGGATACTCTATTGAAGATTTTTGTGAAAGAAAATATCAAATGGAACAACGAACAGAAATGACAACAAGTCAATTA